AACCAGACCAGAGTCCCAGCTCTGTGTAGCTTATTTCTGGTGGGAAGGACAGATAAGCAAACAAATAAAATGCCAGGGAGGCCCAGGGGTGACTTTAAGCAGTGGATTTTAAGCAGTGGCTACTCAGGGTGGAGGCAGGAAGGCAACACAGGGGGTCTGTTGCAGTAATTCGCACAAGAGGGTAGTAGTGTCTTGGACTCGTGTGACCACAGTGGAGTCGGTGAAAGGTAGTCTGATTCTGAATTTAGTGTGAAAATAGAACTGGGACTTGGTGATGGGTTGAATGTTGGCATCTGGAGACAGCAAACTCAAGAATCGCATCTTTGGTTTTGGTCATCTGACCCCCTGGGAAAGCTGTGCCATTTCTGAGAAGGAGCAGATTGGTGGAGTTTCATGTAGGACGTGTGAGGTTTGAGGTGCCTCTTAGGTCATCCAGGAAAGGGTGTCAAGTCAGCAATTGGACAAATGAGTCTAGGGTGATGGAGGAGTTTAGGGCCAGGAAATGTATTTGAGTGAGCCATGGGGAGGTAGAGTCCCCTGGAAATGAGTGTCACAGTGACAGGGACCAAGGACGAAGGCATGAGCCCCTGGGCGTACCAGCACTTACTGATCAGTGAGAGGGGGAAGTGGCCAGTGGGATAGGAAGAAAGCCAGGAGACTGGGAAAGGAAGGAATGGGCCCATCACCTGGTTATGCTGGAGAGACTTGGACCAGTGACCAGCATGTAGCAGAGGCAGTCAGCGATAGCCCCTCCGGAGCAGCCGCAGCTGAGTGGGGGGCCTGGTGGGGGGAGGGAAGGGGAGCAGTGGGGTTGGGTGGGTTAAGGAAGTCAGGAGGAGGAACAGGCTTTTAAGGAGGTTATCTGGGAAGAGAGGAGGGAAATGGGGTGGCAGCGGGAGAGGTGTGGGGGCCAAGGAGGCTTGTTTGGTTCTTTGTTGGATTTACCTGAGAGGTATTTGAGCATTAGAGAGACAGAAGGGAGGGACTCACCCAGAGGTCGAGTTTAGGAAGGCACAGGGTTGACTAACAATAACAGGAGGTGGGTAAGGGTAGATGGAGACAGGTGGGAGCTTGAGTGGTGGTGAGAAAAAATAGATGCCCAGAAGTTGTGGGAGAGAAACAGCTCAAGTTGGAGGAACAGGGACACAAGGGTGGGGTCCCTGGGGGCTGCAGCTGTGATGTTGATGTCTTATCTCCTCAACAGTGTTGGGTATGTGGCTATTTAGGTCATTCACTCATCCTTTCATTCAAATTTTTGTTTAAAAATTATAACTTTCCCCCCAAATCATCCTATTAAACATAAAATTTCAGTTATAAAGCTATTTAATTATTTAGTTTTTACATTGTATTGAAATTACTTCATTGTTCTCAGTATCTTGCAAAAAACTGGATTAAACCCTCATGGCAATTTGTGTTGGAGTTTAAGAGGGTATTTGTGAGTAACCCATTTAAAGGTCTCGGTTGAATGACTCATTCCAAGAAGTCATTCCCAGTTGCTAGTCTGTTAATCTGAGTGTTTAGTATAGCACTTTGCTGCCATCTAGTGTCATAAATTTTACTTTTCGAGTTTTTGGGGGGATTTTGGAGAGGATCTGAGACATTGTTAGAACTTGGATAAAGGAAACTATTTTTCAGAATACATTGCTGTTCTTAAGTGTTATTGTTTTTTCAATAGTGAACCATAGCAGTTATCCCTGTCTACTCACTAAACATCGTTAAAACCTAAATAAAACAAACCAGATATCTAAAAACAGCTTTGTTTTGGGTAGAATGAATCAATTTTTAGTACGTATTGAATATGAACATTTTCATTGTAATTAAAGGTTTTATGCTGATTTTTCTTTTAAATGGAGAGCTGTTAAGGACTTTTCTAGAGCACAGATCTAACCCTGGATCCTGCACAATCCATTACAAGTCTCACCCATGAGAAACAGTGCTCAGGCTCCTCAGTAATTGTTGGTGTTAACTCCTCTCCCCAGGTTAGAGATCTGTGGGGAGAGGCTTTTAGTTTTTGCCACGCTAGAAACATTAGGAGTGTTGGCATTAGAAAGCAAAATCTTCTGTTTGTTACATTTGTCTTCTAATGAAATTTGGAGAGTGGAATCAGTTGTTAATCCTTACCTGAGGATATTTTTTCCATTGAGTTTTAGAGAGAGTGGAAGGGAGAGAGGGAGAGAAAGACAGAAACAT